CTTAGTTCTAAGTTGCTAATTGATCTTAAAAGACAAGCTTATCCATCACATTAGTATAGATAGTCCTCATTTAGTGACCACAATTTGGGGCTAGCAACTTGATGGTAAATTCTCCAAAGCACCTGAAGGCAGGACAAGAAGCAATGGATGGAAACTAATCAAGGAGAGAAGCAACTTAGAACTAAGGAGAAATTTCCTGACAGTTAGGAACAATCTGTTTCAACCAGAAGGTGTGGGTGCGCCAACACTGGAGGTTTTTAAGAAAAAATTGGGCAAAATTGTAGAGTTTTCTGCTTGAGCTGGGAATCTGATTAGAAGACCTCAAAGGTCCCCTCCAACTCTGTTATTCTGTAAAGCAAAGTTGCTAAGGTCACTAAGTGAAACCACAGTTGTGCTTTTCCTTCAGCTTTGCTTTGTAGACCTTCAAAGGTTATAAATGCAAGCATTGGTCACAATGTTACTTTTTTCATCACAATCAGAACTGAATGTGAAATAGGCAGTCACTATACAAATCTTCTTGTATCTTCATTTCCAATTCTAAAGCTGATTGTTGTACCTGTTATTAGTTTGGTATCTTTAATTTTAATTCCATTTTTTTTACTCTGTTCCTTAACTACTTACTAGAGTTTAGAGATTCTTTGCATTATTAGTACCATCAGCAGTGCACATAGAATTGATACTTATTTCTCCAGTTTTAAAACCATGCTCATCTTTTTTCATCCCTTTTTTCTATATTTTATGTTTATATAAACCATACAAACCATTTTCTTAGTCTGTATGGTTTATATAAATATAAACCATAAAAACTAAGTGGAGAGATTAAAAAATCAACCTAAGAATGTTTCCAGTTTCCTGGGGTTCCCAGGTTTGCTGACACAACCAGGTCTGAATGATAACTGGGGTAGATCTAATCTGACTTGAGGGGGGGAATATTCCATAGGGCAGGCGCCACAGCAGATAAGGCCTGCTTTCTGGGATCTACCAAAAGCAGATCTTGGTAGATGGTGCCCACAACATGCCTTCTCTGCCAGATCTAATGAGACAGGCTGATGTAATTGGAAAAGATGAAGCCATGGGGTCCAGATTATCTGGTCCCATGGCATAAAGGACATTAAGGGTTAAAACCAGCACTTTGAAATGAACCCAAGCTGGTAGTCATTGCAGCTCTTGGTATGGAGAGGTAATGTGTGCTCCATTAGGAGCACACATAACTGCCAGTGCTGCTGCATTCTAAATCAGTTGAAGCTTCCTGATAATTCTTCCAAGGGAGCACTATAGCTAGTTAGTTGGTTTACTTTATTGTCATTGCACATGGTACAATGAAATTAAATGTCTTCAGTTCATATTATAACTATAAAAATAAAAACACAAACATATATCCTTTTTATATAATTAAAATTGAAAACCCGATATTGCACTATACCATAAAATTCAATATGGTTACTGCCATGGGATAGAAGCTGTTTTTCAGTCTATTTGTTCTTGTTTTTTTATTATCCTGTACCATCTGCCGGATGGTAATAGTTCAAAAAAAAAAAAGATGCCCAGGATGAGATGGATCTTTAAGAATGTTTTAAACTTTCTTAAGGCAGCAGGAGTTATAAAACTATTCCAAAGAGAAGAGAGGGCAACCAATGATCCTCTGGGCAATGACATTGACCCTCTGGAGTGTTGTCCTATCTGCCACTGTGCAATTGGCAAACCATACACAGATGCAGTAAGTTAAAATACTCTATGGTGCAGCGATAGGAGGTTGCCAGCAGTTTTTCATTGAGTTGTTTCCTGAGAAGTCTCAGGTAGTATAATCTGTGCTGGGCCCTTTTGACCACTGCTGCAATGTTAGTGCCGCCAGGTCAGGTCCTCTTTTATGATAACACCCATTAGAGCATATTACAGGAGTCTAGGGGGGAAAAGAATGATAGTTTGCATACTCTGAAGTTCCTTTTGTGCACACACTCTTGTCTCTCATTTCTTGGACTTTTGAGTGACTTCCAATTTGTTGGCTACTGTGTCATTCTGCAATTTAATGGCATAGTTTGGTTAGACCTTGACTGATTTTCCTTGTGTTGCTTGCCATATTTCAATTGGTATTCCATCCTGTAGCTTTCCAATTTGGTAATGACTGGGCCTACCGATCTAACATCATATCCTATAGGATACAAGAGGTTCTTGTGAGTAGGATTGTGTGTAGGGTGAGGGTTTCTTAAATGTTTTTCTCTTAAGATCTCTTCCCATTTTTAAAATTTTTGAAGGGCCCCAAAATATATTTTCTTTATACCGTGGTATCTTGGTACTCATCATTAATTTATTCCAGGAGGTGCGATGAGTACTAAGCATTTTTTCCCCGTAAGGAATAATGTAGTGAGTCACAAGGCAGCCAACACTGATAGGCTCTAGTTTGTGCATTGAGCACCAAACAAATGATGAGTATCGGGAAAATGTTTTTGCATCAAAATGTATTGAGTACCAATTGTGATGAGTTTCAAGGCTGATGAATTTATTTATTAATCAGATTTATATCTGCCTGTCTTGCAAGAAATGGCACTGAGCAGTATACAACAATCAGTAGACAGAATAAATATAAAAATAATCATAAAATAGTCATTAATTTTTTAAAAAAAACACTAAGAAATATAAACCATACAAACTTAAGTGGAGAGATTAAAAAAATCAACCTAAGAAGGTTTCCAGTTTCCTGGGGTTCCCAGGTTTGCTGACAGAACCAGGTCTGAATGATAGCTGGGATAGACCTAATCTCACTTGAGGGGTTGGGGGAAATATTCCATAGGGCGGGTGCCACAGCAGATAAGGCCTGCCTTCTGAGATCTACCAAAAGTAGATTCCTGGTAGATGGTGTGCCCACAACATGCCTTCTCTGCCAGATCTAATGAGACAGGCTGATGTAATTGGGAGAGGTGAACCATGGGATCCAGATCATTTGGTCCCATGCCATAAAAAACTTTAAGGGTTAAAAACAGCACTTTGAATTGGACCCAAATCAGACTGGTAGTCAGTGCAGCTCTTGGTATGGAGATGTAATGTGTGTTCCATTAGGACCACACATAACTGCCAGTGCTGCTGCATTCTAAATCAGTTGAAGCTTCCTGATAATTCTTCCAAGGGAGCACTATAGCTAGTTAGCTTAGGTTATTGTCATTGCACATGGTACAACAAAATTAAATAAAGGTTTCATTGGGTGTTATTTATCAACAATAACTATTAAAAATTAAAATGAATTTACTGCCATTTGCAGATTTTGTAATACTGCTGCATATCTCTTCTAACTATTCTCTTTAAGTTACTTGTTAAACTCCTTTCTGGGATTTTTGTCTTTCTTGGCTTTGGCTTATCTTAATAATTTTCACTGTTTGTTCTGACTTCCAATTTGCTTTCTTGAAAGCATGAGATAAAAAGGGAAATATGATTAAATGTAGTTTACACCATTATTTGTTGTACCATGTCATAACTTTATATTCTGACAAACCATTTTTTCTCCCAACCGCCATTCCTTCATATTTCATATATTGCCTTTTGTTCTTTAACATTATTGTCTTTTTTTTAATCTTACCAACTGTTTAATGGCAACTTTCAATCATTATTCATTCTCATCCAGGAGAACTAAAGAAGCTTCTCAGATGGGAAGCAAAACATTTTCATGAGAGAAAAAAACCCTAAGAAATTCCAGTTGCCTTTTGAAAAGCACCTTTGGGATACCCACTCCTTGATTTATTTAATGTTTTATTTAACACATGCACTCCCACTGGGTTCCACTTCTCATGACATGACCAACTATTTGTTCCATAACTTATACAGAGTTGTTTTTACTTTTGTCAATGCATTTTTTAAAATCAGCAGACCACTTATTACTATTTTCTATTTGTGTTTTTGTATTTTTCACTTATTTTCCCATTGTCAATAAACATGAAATCATTTACCACTTTCTCTATCAGATACCTTGGTCTTTAATACATTATTTTTCATATCCATAGTCTTTATAATATCGTAATCTAACATTTTCTAGAAATAATTCAGATTCTCAGCTAACAGTATTGATGGCTCCAGACAAACTCTTAACATCACTACCAGCATTCTTTTCACATTTATCCCCAAATACTTTATTTGGGTTTTAACAGAAAGCTTGAAGAGCTTGAAGTTCTCACAAGCAAAGCCTGATACTGATAAATGTCTATCATGGTCAAATTCATAACTCAATCATGGGTTGTATTGGCTAGCCTTTAAATACGGTAGTTATGTATTAGTTTACATTTGAGTACTTTTTAACTGAAGCTTGTTTGTTTTTCAATATTAAGTCGTTTGACTGAAGAGGAAGAAGATGAAGACGAAGGAAAAGAATTTGCAGCTGAGGTTGAAAATTGTTTTCCCCAGCTTTACAAGTTATTTATGGTATGTATTTCACTTCTTTGTCTTTATTTCCCTGTTTAGTTATCTCAGGCTAAAAAAGTTTGAGTTGCTTTCTCGCATCAGAATTGGGCAAACTTAGTAGTTCAAACTTTTAATTTGAAGAAGTCCATACTTTTGTAAGTTTTTTAACAATTTGAATCTCAATCAAAACTAATTGAAGATAACTGTGTAAAGAAATGTAATATGCTATCAAGTTTGCCCATTAAACCAGAGAAATAGGGTTATTCATTTTTCATATCAAGATCGCTAAATTACTGATATATATCAACTTTGATTGGTGGATTGGAGAAATAACCTGCAAATTAATAGCTTTTGTATTTGAGGATAAATTGAAATATGATATTAAATAATCTGAACTTAAAGTAAATATAGCGACCTTCTACAGTTTGATCAGTCTCCAAATTAGCTAGAAATCCAATTTCATATGTTCCAGTAAAGTGACTATGGATGGTGATTGAAGATCATCTAGAGGTTTACCAGATTGGGGGATGTTGGATTAGAGAATAATACCTGTTTCAGATCTTGACAAATTGAGTAATATAACTGGTCTGTCTTCTCTTGTGTGAGTTTAGATTTATTTTCTTTCTTGTTTAGACACATATTCCTACTGAAAATTTGGAGTTGAGCAGCGCAGCTTTACAAACCTTAGGATTCTGTGTGTGTAATCCAAAGATTGCTTCCTTATTATGTGGTAAATACCTTTTTGTATTATAAACATTGATAAACTACAATCAGTTTAACTAACCATTTTCTTCGAGTGACTGACATCCATAGTCTCGGTATGTATCTGTGGATAATGCATATACAGACATGTATATACTAACAAAATTACATAATCACAAATAGAAATGGAATGTGTTAGTTTTAAATCTGTTTCCTATTGGCTAAATTTCAGCATAAATAAACCACAGAATGTTTTGGTTGGTCCATGCTTCAGCCAAAATAAAACCTGCAGGGATCCAAGAATGATTTTTTAAAAATAATTTCTATTGAAGTTTAAAAATACAAAAGACAAATACTAATAACCTGTGGATTTCCTTGAAATCAAAATAGTCACACAAGCAGTACTTGGATGTATTTTTTGCTCCCTGTTGGCATACTAGCAGGGATATACATCAGTATGAAAGAAACCTCTATCCAGAACAGCTGTTTCTATACAGAATAGTTGAGCCATCCCTTTATGACATTAGTCTGAATTTCATACAGACCAGAAAATTGCTACTATCAATTATTACACAGTGATAATATCTAGAACAATAATTACGGGTTTTTCTTTCTTTTTTTAAAACAGAAATAGAAATACATGAATTACTATCTCTATTAAACAGTGTTGCTATAAATTCAGGAGACAAACATATTCGCACAAGAGCACTCTGGGTGATTTCAAAGCAGTTCTTTCCTCCAGATACGGTTGGAAAATTGGTGAGTAGGATTTGTTTTCATCACCTATAAATAAAAGTTGATAAAAAGTCTTCCTATACTTAACTCATTATATTTTTTCAGGTACCCAATATTATTGCTATGCTAGAAACAATACTTAAAGGAGATTCACATTCCATGGTGGTTGAACATGAAGCGCTAAATGTTATTATCCGGTATGTATCAAGATACACATTTGTTAAAAGAAGTAAGAGGAGAAAGATTTCTGTTTAAATTTTGACCTGTGTACATTGTAAGTTATAGCACTGTTGCTATGATTGTACTACATGTTCAGTAGTGCCTATGTTTTGAACTTATTGTATTATTGAAGTATGTGTCAGATAAATTGTATATGTGGGGGATTTGGGGGGGACTTGTTCTATTTTCCAGTTAAGCTACTAACTATATTAGATCTTTATTGATATTGTATTTCATATTATAATTGGAGCACTCCAGTTGTAGCAATGTAACATAAATGGTAGTTCTATAATGCAGAAGATCGGAAACTGGTGCTTGTAAGAGTTAGTTTAGGGAAGGTTTTCCATATTGCTTCAACTGTCAACAGTCTATTGACAATGGATAATTGACAATGGATTAAGTTATCTTGTCCCTGGACTGCAGATCCCTTCAATTAGCCTATGAAGCATATTATTCAGAACAGATTATTCCAGTGATAGCTAACCTTTTTTGGATCACGTGCCAAAAGCAGGGGAAGCGCAGGGGGGTCATGCGTGGGTGTGCCTACACCCATAATACTATGCCCGCGACCCCAGCATACGTGTGTGCGACACCCCCTGTGCATGCGTGCACGGCCAGTGTTCCCCTCCTGCTTTTGGCGTGTTGTTTTCACTATCCCCAGCCTCCAGAGGCTTTCTAGGAGCCTGGAGAGGGTGAAAACAGCCTCTCGCGGCCCCCCAGAGATCCTTTGGAGGCTTCAAGAGCTTCCCTGAAGCCTCCGGAGGGCAAAAAACAGCCCTACAAGCAAACTGGAAGTCCATTCCCGAACTTCTGGTTTGCCCGTAGGACTGGTTTTTCACGCTCCGGAGGCTTGCACGAAAAACTGCCTTAAAAGAAGGCCAAAGCAAGCTGGCCAGCTCATACATGCGCGCTGGAGCTGACAGGGCAATGCCTCGCGTGCCCTAACAAATGGCTCTGTGCCACCTGTGGCATGCGTGCCATAGGTTTGCCATCACGGGACTATGCAAACCACTGCCACATGAGAACAAGATGTTTTCATACACTTGCATTCTCAGTTCTTTTGGCAAACTTTTGCAAAAACTTTGGAAATTTCCTCATATTTGTGTTTGCACAACTGATTCATATTTGTGTTTCTAAAATCTAGGCTGTTAGAACAGGCTCCATCTGACATGGAGGAACAGGCTGTGACGTGGGCTAAGATGATAATTCCTTTGCTGGTTCACTCAGCTCATAAAGTACAGTTAAAAGCTGCTAGTGCTTTGGAAATGGGTCTACCGCTTCTTCAGCAGCGCCAAGAGGTGATAGCAGTTGCTGAGCAACTCCTGACTACAGTAAGTCAAATATATTTTAAATGTGTTTACAGAGCATCACAGAGCCAGACATATTTCTTGCATGACCTTCATTCAGTCCCCATACAGCTATTTCACTAGATTTTCAGTCACGTATATATTTGGCATAAATTAAAAATCCAGAATAGAAATCACTGAAATGTGTGGATTATGCAGTGGACTTGCCACAAGTAATTTATTATATAATAAATACCAGAGTCAGTACTTTAAATATAGGAAGATAAATACAAATGAAGCCTGAACTGAAATGCATTATTTGGAAAGATTATTAAAAATGACAGTTCACTGCTATTTGTGATTTCTAGCACAATACCTTATATTAACATTTATATTTTTTTCATATGAAATTGTATGTTCAGCTGTTTTTCAGTATAATCCTTTAGATTATTTAGATGTTACTAATACATTTATTCTGAATTGAATAAACAAATGCATACCTTATTGTAGTCTTAAAACATGCAAACTAAAGGACAATTGATACAAAACAATAGATAAGATAGCAATAAAATAATGTCAATCCAGTGTTTAAAAACTTAAGTCAAATTTTATATGATTAATACAGATCAATTCTGTAAGGGTTACAATAATGCAATTTTTATAGCTGCACAATAACATTTTGCAATTGTGGATAGTATGTAACTATGGAGTCTCTGTCAGCCAATTGATATTAAATGCAAAATTTATGTGAATAATTTGGATTTTTTTAAAATGAAGACCATATTAGGCATTTGATAAAAGCCTAAATTAAATTCACAATATAAAAAAACATGTACAGTTTTCTCAATCTTACCTTATCTCAGGAGAAATCCTCTTAGAACTTGGGCTATTACAGCATTTTTTTTAACAAAATTGAGGGTGTGGCATTAAGGCTAGCTCTAAAAAATGTTCATTGATAACATAAGAGAATAAGAGAAAAAACAGGTTTTGAAAGAGCCGTCTCTGAAATTTTATGAAAAGCTGACAAATGTTTAAAAATCCTCTTAGGTTATTTGGCGGCTCTGTTCCAGATCCATAGTTTGATTACATATTTTCCATTAAGTCTTAAGGATAGTGAATGCTCAGACAATAATCAGTAGGTGAGCAATTTGTAACACTTCCATCACTTTGACCTATAATTACACAATAATATTAATGGTAGCCCTGTTGCTGGAGTCAATCTGAACCTATTCAAAACACGTTTTTTTTTATTTTTAGCAACCCAGTTTCTAATCTCAGAGAATAAGTATGTGAATTGTGCCTCATATGGTAATTATGCAGTGGACTTGCCACAAGTAATTTAATCCTTCTTTCTTGCACTGGAATGTTAAAATTGCTTTGGTATTTTCCGGAGTGATGGAAGAGGCATAACTGAAATTTCCTTCTAGATGTTTGACAAAAAACTCCTAGACATTTAAAATAATTCAGAATGCTGTTCTAGGATCCTAGCTCACCATCTGTGAACAAACCCGCAAGAATCTCATCAAGATGCATTTTTATCTAATTTAATACAATATTTTAATAAATGTTCTCTATTATAATCCTACAGAAAGTAATTCCAGAACTCCAAAAGCTATTTTTTTCAAAACATGAAACATATATTCTGAAACTGTGGCCCCTGTTTGTAAAGCTGCTTGGAAAAGTAAGTTGGAGAAAATTACTTTATAAGCTATGATACTGGAAGTACATTACAGTGTACAGTGATGCTGTATTTTTCCCTTTAGACACTGCATCATAGTGGAAGCTTTATCAATTCCTTGCTACATTTAGAAGAACTTGGGTTTCGTAGTGGCTCCCCAGTGGTGAAGAAAATAGCTTTCATTGCATGGAAAAGTCTAATTGATAACTTTGCTTTAAATCCAGGTATGCTAAAATGTTGAGCAGTAATGTATTGGCAATGAATATACTCTTGTTTCTCACATGCAGATGGAAAATCAGTGATTAAGCTGACACACAAACATAGGAAGTTATTAGTGATGTTGATAGTTTAAATTAAATTAGTTGCCATCTTGTCACACACTTGTCACATACAGTTAATATAAGATTTACATAGTTGTTATTGTTGCAAGATGCCAGAATTATGAGAATATGCTTTTCACCCACTATAAATCGTTTACTCAAGTTATGTCTGAATCCCAGCAACTCTGGGCAATTTTCAAATTATTAAAAATCTTTTTTAAAGAACACAAATCAAAAAGAACAGTGGTGACAGAGATAAGAAACCTTGATGGAAAGCCCCAAAGGTATTTTTCAAAAGACAACTAGGCTTTCTTGTTTTTTTTCCTTGAAAATGTTTTGCTTCTCATTCAAAAAATTGCTTTAGTTCTGAGAACAGATCAGAACTGAAGAAGCTTCTTGTATGAGAAGTGAAATGTTTTCAATGAAAAAAACTCAAGAAAGTCCAGTTGCCTTTTGGAAAGCACCTTTGGGATAACCCTGACTGGATGGTTCAGAATCTCCATACACACCTGGATGGGAAGAAGAAAAAGAGGAAAATGTGCCTCAGTCGTGCTTGCCAAAGGCCCATTGAAAAATCAGTGTTTGAGAAAGCTTATAGAAGACTACGTTTTGAAGCTTTTAGAGCGTTGGATAGAGAGTACAGAATGCAAATATAAGGTGGCACAGTGGTTAGAATGCAGTATTGCAGGCTAACTCTGCCGACTGTCAACAGTTCAACTCTGACCAGCTCAAGGTTGACAGCCTTCTGAGGTCAGTAAAATGAGGAACCAGATTATGGGGGCTAATACGCTGACATTGTAAACTGCTCAGAGAATGCTGTAAAGCATTATGAAGCAGAATATAAGTCAAAGTGCTAATGCTATCATTACACAAGTGTAAGAGAATAATTATATTTCTGAAACACCCATAGAAAAAGAGTGGCTTATTTGCATTTCTTGTTTTTCTGTTGGTTTTCCTTTTTCCTTTCCTTTCATTTTATATTTTTATTTTTTTCTTGCTGATAATAGTTTGGGTTACCTTTTAGAATTGTTAAAATCTTCAATAAAAAGTATTTTTTAAAGGGGGTGCGATATTTGTTAGACAAATCCATTTTCAATTCATAGCAACCCACTGAGGCAAGAAGGATTAAACTTTGCTTCTCTTTCTATTCAATATAATAATATTTTCAATTTCTGTTTTCCAAGATATATTATGTAGTGCAAAAAGGCTAAAATTGCTAATGCAGCCACTGACCTCTATTCATGTGAGAACTGAAACTCTGGCACTGACCAAGCTTGAAGTTTGGTGGTATTTATTAATGAGGCTTGGATCTCAGCTTCCAGTCCACTTTGAACAGGTAATTTAATGTTTGTTGTTAAACTAATATTGAGCATTAGTTAAAATGGGATTCTGAAAGACTCTTACATTTACATTTCTATGCAATATCTGACATATTGTTGTGCTCTTGTATGCATTGTCCTATTTAATAAATAATATCTGTGTGCAGTAAATATCTCTTGTTTATTGCTAGAATAAATTATTCAGATCGGATCTGCCCATTTATTTTATTTTGGGGCTTATGCTTCAGTGTTTCTTTTTTTAGGTTTGTGTACCATTAATTCAGAACACTTTAAGCCTTGATGCCTCTCTGCTACAAGAAAATTCATCACGGTTAATTTCTAATCAGAATATAGCTATTCCAGGTTGTTCACGAAAATCAGGTATGAAGGTAGCAGGTACAAGCACATTGGCAGCTGAGGGGAGGGAGGGGAAGCACTGGAAGGTTGGGAGGTGGTGACCACACTGGTGGGATATGGCATTGTGGAGGGAGAGGAAGAGGGCCATCTCAATTCTGCCCAATTGTACCACTGACCTGAAATGGTTCATACAGCCCACAAAATAGGTTAGCTTAAAAGGAAAACATCATTTTTCCATTTTTTCACACTCCTAGTCTGTCCCAAGGCATTTGTCCTGCATACTAGCACATTTTGAGTAGACACTCCTTGCTCTTTGCCATTCCTGAAAGTAAACTTTGTTAAGGTAATATTATTAACGAGCACTGCAGTTTAGAATTGTGTAGCTGTAGTTTAAGCATAGGACCATTAATGGAAGATAATGTCATATACGTTCAGGGAAACTTTCTAAATAAAATATGCTGGCTAGCTTTGAAGTACAATTGTTAGAAGCATGAGACATAATCAGATCTTCAACCTCATTTCCGTCAGCTAGCTCTTCAAGCTAATCCTAATCAGGTGGGATTTTGTGTCCCCCCCCCCCTCGACCCCATATGAATCATTTTCTTTGCTAGAAGTGAGAGAAAAAAATGTGTTTTTTTTATTTCAGGGGTTTTCCCTTTTGGAAATGTTGCCAATCCAAGGATGACTTTGAATTCTAGCAATGAAGGAGCTGTTATTCCATCTATTCAGCTTCTAGGAATTGAAATGCTACTTCACTTCTTTATGGGACCAGAAGTATTGACTTTTGCCAAGGAAAATAATATTGTGCTTAGTTTAGGTAACTATTTGTTAAAATAACTTTTGTAACAAGGTAAAATACTGTAGCCTTAGTTTTATTTTTTAAAACTGCTGATTTGTCAGTGATAGAAGTTCTTTACTATCTCCTTATATAGAACCTCTTCAGTACCCAGTAATTACCAGTCCTTCGTTCTTCTGCAAATATGCCAGTGTTTTTATAAATGCAGCTCAGGATGGTTTCATTGCAATTGGAAAAGATGTTTCTGGTAAGGACTTTATGTGCAGGTTAGATATTTATTGTAAGCAGGTATCTTCAACTCTAAAGACAAAAGGCATTAACTATAGGAATGCTATATAAATATAACTCAATAAATACAAATTAAATCAATTAGCTAGTTCTTGCTATCAGGTTTAAAGTAGAAAAGAGGCATATAAAAAGATGGGGAAAATTGGTGATCATAATTCATTTTAATTGCCCCAATAAGTAGAATTGAGCATTTTACTGTCTGTACTCCATTGGCACTGGATTTTGTGTCTTTGGTTATTCCTTGCAGACTTATTCCATTTTTTCTTCTTTGCTGCTTACCATTCCTGAAAAATGAATTGAATTAGTTCCTTGTCTCCTTCAGGACAAGATAAGCCCCAGAAACTCTATTGCTGACCTTTAAAAGGGAGGAAATGACTGCCATGGTGATTTGGATGTTAACAACCCACCAAGTTGCTTGTAGCTTTTGTCTTCTCACAGAAAAATTCTTTAGTGGGCATTTTTTCTTTAAAAAAAAGGCTTCATATAGTGCAGTAGTCAGCATCTTTCAGGTACCTGTTCCATGTTTATTTAATATAAATCTACTTAACTGATTTTTCACTTGATTTTCCTTTTGTTTAAATCATGCCTTGCAGATTTTATGCTCACTGCTATATGGAGAGAATTAGTTGGTTTTGTGAAAGCTGCAATTGATTCAGGTAATAATTGTTTATATGATTCAGCTGTACAGAGACCTTATGAAAGTGAAAAGATACTGAATTTATTTATTTACACTTATATCTATCTAAATAAATTGGTGTACCATAACCATATCATGCTACTGTTTGAACACAGTTTGCAGTTAAACTTCTTTATTTAGAAGTGATTTGCGCAAAATGCAATTAATGTATGAAGCCTCTTACTGTGTCTAGTATTATAAGATTGATTGACCACCATATGCATAATTTATTTCTAGGCAACAAAAGAGATCGACAACATTCAGAAGTGTTAACTATGTTGCTGCAGACTTTAAAAAACATTATTTTGTCAAAAGAATTGCCAGTATTAAACTCATTGGTAAGTGTTGATTTCTTCACGGTCTCATTACCCAAGCTAGGTAACATCATTAGTGCTTATGAAAGCACCAAGTATCCACTCATTCCAACCCTGAGCTACCAATAGTCTCCTTTATTGGTTTATATTCTTATAAAAGTGATTTCAGCATTTTAATCATTTATTAGAGCTTAAGGGCAAATTTTGCTACTATGTGTACACATATACAGCAAAATACTTTGGATAAGTCATATTTGTATGATAGGATATATGCTATAAATAGTGCTTATTTCCTTGGCAGCAGAGTGCTATTTTGAATAATCTTGATATTTTTTCATTTTTTAAAATCATAATATAGATACCAATTATTTTACTTCGTTACCTGTTAAATGAAATACTTTGTTTCCTATTTTAGCCCTTGTTAGAAGTGGCTATTAAAGAATTGCCTCCAAAAGTATTAGGATCGCCAGCCTATCAGATTGCTGACATGGATCTTCTGAATGTAAGTACAATACATATGATGTGTGATACTGCTCAGATTAGATACACAAAGCATGGTATACCACATGCTTTGTTTCCTATAAGAGATACAACTGGTAGGATACCAGTCACAGATATTTATAAGTGGTTCCCTTAATCCTACTAGACCCTAAATTCCTATTACAAGAATGGAATTTCTACATGTTGGTTAAGGTGACCCTCTCCTAAAGCAGAAATCAAAAGCTGATGAGTCAGAATGTCATGTCCATCTGCTTAAGTCTTAAGACAGTGAGTGGAAACTGAGACATTCCCAAGTTAGATAAAGATTAACATGTCAGTGTGACAGCAAGCCAGTTTAGTTTTCGTACTGTTCAAAAAACAGGAATGATTTTTCATTATTTTTTCCTGTATAGAAATGCACTTGTCATTTAAATTCAGCAAATAATCCATGTAAACAAAAATACTTTCAATTTTATATCCATAAGGAAAGGAGTATCTAATTCCAACACTTGACTCCATCCTTCTGTATACTATAGCAGTTCATAATTCAAAGGAAGTAATTATATTCTCTTACATATTTCACATTGGACTACTTACAAAACAGGGACCACATTTTTTTGTTATTTCGTCGCTTAGATTCCCTTTAAATATCAATAGGATCCCATGAAGCTCAAATAGCATTCAGTGGAGAGTATGTACAAACTTTCATAAATCATGAAAGAAGGTGAATATTTTTTTTAAAGGCAATATGAATTTAGACGCAATTCACATTAATTAAAAGCAGGAAGATCTAAAGATTTGGCAGTTGAATTTACATAATTCTGCCAGCCAAGATGCTAGGAAGAATGCCTGGTCACATGGTAAACCTTTAGAATGTCAAGGTAATATCTAGGGCTTGAATTATTTAATAAAAGTATGTTGGTTGACAATTGTGAAACAAAAATGGGTCATGATGAAAATGTTGATGGTGAACAGAGTTGGTAAAGCAGAATAGACTTTACATTACTCCAATGAATAATAGACTTAACTGCCTGAATTCTTATGTTTTCTTTTCTTGACAGGGAACTCCAGCATTGTTCCTGGTTCAGCTTTTATTCTGTGAAGATCTTCTTAAATTTGGAGTTGAAAATAAAAGGTAGGTACTTTTGAACGTTTTTTTAAAAAAAATGTCCAACTGGATATCTAGTTGCTAAAATACATCTCTTTAATTTTGATTCTAATTACTTTTTTCTTTTTGTTAACTAGATTCTTTTTAAATTACGAAACTCTTGTGGAATGTACTTTGTCTGGCCCTGCGTCTCCTCTGGCTTTTACTCAGTCTGTACTCACAATTGTGAGCGAAAGTGCCCTGCACTTCGAAAATAAGGAATATGTGTGGCGAATGTGGAGTATTATAGTTAACCCATTAATTGAATGCATTAAACAGGTATAGTGAACTAGATTGTCTAGTTAAGTATCAATTATATAGAGAGATATAAATATTACTACAGAAATTTAAAAAAATCCAGAATTAGATTTTAAAAATAAACAAGAATATTAAGGTTTCAGTGTGTCTTAAATATGTAAATAGTTCATGTGTCAACCTAGATACAGGTAGTCCTTGACTTACGCCCAGAATTGAGCCCAGAATTGATGTTGCTCAGTGAGAAATTTGCTAAGTGTGTTTTGCCCCATTTTATGACTTTTGCCACATTTGTTAAGTGAATCACTGCAATTGCCAAATTAGTAACACAGTTGTTCAGTGAATCTGGCTTCCCTGTAGACTTTGCTTGTCCAGGTGACAAAAGAAGATCATGTGACCCCGGGACACTGCCAGTGTCATAAATATGAACCAGTTTGCAAGAATCCAAATGTAAATCATGCGACCATGGGGATGCTGCAATGGTCATAAGTGTGAAAAATGTTCATAAGCCACTTCGAATGTCATTAAATGAACTGTTCTAAGTACAGGAGTACTTGCACAATGTTTTAAATGCTTTAAATGTTAAAAATTTAGAGGATTTTTCAATTTGGGCTACTTTTTTTTTCCTTAGACGAATGAAGTAAATCAAGGGGATGCTTTGGAGCACAATTTCAATGCAATTTACTGTGCACTGTTGCTACCAGTAAACTGTATATTTTCATCTTCTGAATTTCCAGAGGTAGGAAACTTTGAATATCTATAGAGAGTGGTGGGTTAAGGTTAACCCCAGTGGTGGGTTATGTTGCGCAGGCTCCGTACGCTCAGTGTGCATGCACAAATTGCCCAGTTGGGTCAAATACCGGTAAGGAGGGCGGGTGGGCCCTCCGGAGCACCATACTGGAATGGTACCTGGTGCTCCCAGCAGACACCGGTACACCCGTAATCCACCACTGATCTAGAGTAGTACTTGTCATTTAGAATCTAAAGTTTGTTAAAATGTAATTTGCTTTGCTACAGTTTACCATGAAAAAACTACTGCGTTCTTGGTCAGAACTATATAAAGCATTTGCCCGTTGTACATTACTAGTACCAACAGCAGATGATAACGTATGCTGTGAGGAACTCTGTGCCAAAATAATATCTGGATTAAAAGATGAAGAACGTCTAGTAAGTGGAGGTTCCTTTATCCTAGTACACATATATTTCTTTGTTCCTTTCTATGCTGTCTTGACAAGTCTGTTTTATTTCTATTTCAGAATCAATCCATGTTGGATGGGCTCTCTCATATTACAGCAGTCATGGTTGAATGCATCAATTTTGCACCTTATGATGTAAAATTTCCATTAGCACATAAACGTAAGATTTGCTAATATGAAATGTTGCATTATTGAATGGCCTAGCTCCATTTTTCTTCCTTTTATTTTTTTTGTTCACCTCTCCTAATACACATAGTCTTCAACAATCTTATAACCACATTTGCAGTCAAAACATCTGTCATTAAGCAATGCGGTTATTGAATCATCACATGGCTATGTACCAATTTTGTGCCCTTTTTGCCAAAATCCAAATTCTCCAATTGACTTTGCTTGTTGGAAACTAGCTGGAAAGGTCACAACTGGCAACCCTATGACCCCAGGATGCTGCAACTGTCATAAATACAGTACCTTTTGTTCTATTCCCACCGTCCCGTTGCTCATCATCTTCTGTCCCACTGCTTTTAATAATAACAGTCTAGGCTTTAGAACATGGTTACAGAGAAACATGACCTTTTGCCTTCCACAAGTCATATTGCAACTAGTGTGTATGAAGGATGGTTGAAACTAAATCACTTTTCATTTTAAAATGCTATTAAATTTTTATGTTTCAAGCAAAATTAATGTTAAATTGTTCTTCAGCTCCACAGAATCTAGTGGAGTGGGCGAGAAGGGAAAAGAATCCCCTTGGCAAGATGTCTTCTTTAATTAAACTTCTGATAATACTGATGAACTCTCTTCAGATGCTTATATCCGAGGAATTTGACTGTGAACCATTCGCTCCTCTTGGTTTTATGATTGTTGGTATTCTTCACAATATCATTGGCCGTGTCTCTTTGCCTTCTATGCTCAGACCGGTCTTGAGATTTATTGCAAAACCTTTTGCAGCATTATATGAAAAAATACAGTAAGTATATGTACATTATAGAGTTGGGTTTCACTGATGTAGCAGTTGCACATTGATACTATTCTGATGAAATTCTCAAGTAATTTGAAGTAATTATGGAAAGTTATTGCATATGACTGCAAATTAAAAGAGGACAAAAGCAGATTAGAGATGAGTGGTTGAGGGGGGGGACAAGGTGATAGATGCACCTTTGGAAGACCTGAAGGACCACGTTAGTGAAAGATCATTCCAGAGAAAATGCATCTCTGTGGTTCCTAACAGGTGACATTGATTTATGGGCAGTCCTATAATCATAACCATGGAAAACCCTTTGACTACTACTTCAGGTCTTGACTTTCTAGATATACTTTATTGGTGGCATCCTAATTTAAAGTTCTGTAATTACAACATCACATTTTAAACCAGGTTTTAATGTCAGTTTTTAAATTGCTTGAACCAAGTAGCTTTATAATCAAACATTTATTACAACTGCATATGCAAGTTTCACCAAGGAAAAAATTGCTCATTTTTCATCGAGGAAAGAGGTGATTATCACATAAAAGCTTCATCTTAAAACAGATTTGGGGTTTTTGATTGCAGACATTTTTTTTACCCATATGCTCATTAACTGATCTATTAAAAAACTTACGAGATTATGCAGCTAAAATTTTCTGAGTTGAGCAACAGCCTGGAAGTATGTATAATACTACCAATTAATGTTAATCCTTCTCTGAAAATTCAGTTTAATTGCGTTGCAGAGCATTGGGTCATTCCTTAATATGTGTTGATATGGGCATAATTATATTTACTGTAGCTACATCTCATTTGAAAGTGCTGGGCTGCCTTTAAAAATTGTTCAGAAGGCTCAGCCAGATTCTTGACTGAGAAGTCCAGAGAACTTTTAACTTTCTTAACAAAGATGTAAACTGTCTTAATATGTTTTTTGTGGGACTGTCAAAGCACTCTGGGGTTTTACATACAAACCTTGATTATTAGCATCTTCAGGTGAGTCCCCACTCTCAGTCTTTTTGCCGTCAGAAACATATTTGGTAGAAATGCAGGAAGGCATTCTGAGTGAGCATTGCCTCACTGCCAGATGGGTTTATCCCTGTTATCTTCTGGCAGCAAGCAAAGAATTTTCTTTTGCTTTTTTTAAAAATGGAAAAACATTTAGTGCATTTATTCATTAAGATATGCTTTACTTTCCTGGGATGAGTTTGCTGGGGGGAGGGGGGGTGTTAATTGACTTGAGTTGCTTAGTGTTGTAATTCTGTTTTTATCTTCATTTTTGGTGATACCTTGAACAACATTTGGGATGAAAAGGCAGAATATAAAATATTTCTCATAGTTGAATAGGTCCTCAGCACTTGGATAATTTCTTAATGTATTCAGTGTATTCTTTCCTTTATAATATATGTATTGGCTAAACCAGTATCTACTGAATATCTTACCTATTGTATTTCAGCTTAAGATTATAGTCAAACTGCAGTTGTTATACTTTATAGATGAATAATACTTACATGCAAATTATTTTTTTCTACAAGGTCTTGTAATCAACCTTCAAAGTTGGCTAATCCATTGAGTCCTGGACTCAATAACAAGGTACTTTATATATGGGGAAAAAAACTATTTTTCTGATTCTTAAATGGTAACAATGTTCAATATGCTGCTGTTCTGGAATTAATTTTAAAAGAAATATAGCTTAGAGTTTTTATTGCTTTTTGTGCTGTGCTTGACTTTGTACATCACCTAAAGCCCCTGAAGTTGAGTCAGTTTATAAATCTTAGTAATAAATAAATGATGCTCACCTATTCATTTGTGAGTGGTATTCCCAATTCAGATTTACTTTACCATAGAAATATAGATTTGGCTGGGAGAGTATTGCAGATTGCAGTGGCACTTCTAACTAGCATGCAATTGGAGACCTATTCTGACAGCAGTATCGGATTTTCATCCCTTTACCTTGATTAATCTATATTGTGGTTGGGTTTTGTCAAAATAGAGTTATTGCCATTTAAAATGACCTTCAGAAGTTGCAGTTGGTTCAGAATGCAGCAGAAAATGTTTAGGTAGATGTTTACAGGCAGGATCATTACTAGTCCTTCAAGGGCTGGATTGGTTACCAGTGGTAATTGATACTATATCAATTCCAAATATGGGTGATAAGGCCAGATCAGGGACTGCACCTCTTATACCACCTCTTCAAATCTAGAGGAGATACTCTGTATACGTAGGTAGGGATCTGCATAACAGCCTTCTTGATGCTTGCAAAGCTCTGTTTTGGGAGGTTCCATTGATGCTATCTCTGGTTATTTCCCTGCTAATAGAGTAAGACTGAGAACTCAAGAAAACATCCCAGAGATTTATGCAATGACAAACTATCTCCGTATTTTTATGAAGGCATCAGAGTAGTATGGGGAAGAGCTGAACATTGGGAAACCAGTATAGTGACATAGTGGGAAATATGCTGCTTCATGTATGGGCAATGTGTTTTTATTGTTATTTTTACTGGTGGTGCAATGAGCCCACCTAGGCTTATTGCATATATAGTTTGAAAATAAATAATACTGCACAGGGTTGCCCATCAAGCCATCAGAGTTCAACCAAGTTCCCTGTTAACCAAATTGCCTTTAGTAGATAACTTGTTTTTGATTTTAATTGTTATAAATTTAATCCGGACAGGGTATCAATTAGAAAGGGCAAGGTGCTTGTTATGTAAATACAAATGAGATTAATGCATCAAATATTTTTAAAAAATTAATGATGTTTCTTACCCCATTTTTGCTTTTAGTGTGAAAAGTTACTGGCAGACAGCCTTACTTGTTTTCAGACACACTATCCTGGATCCTTTGACGATGAAGTCTTGGGAGAGATTTTTCCGTTATTGAGCGTAATGTTTTCAAATAGGAATAGATTGGTATGCAGCCATGCTGTTTCGTTTTGGAATGCAACATTTGGAAAAGCGCGCACAATGGAGTACCCTGAAGAATTAAAGTAAGATATCTTTTGTTTTTGTGCTATTGTAACATTTTGTAGCTTGGAAACAGACAGCATCACGTAACATAACATAATTTAGATCTAGACATTCCTTCTATTTATGACACATTCTTCTGTAGTCACATGCAAAGAGGCAGTACAAGAACAAAGGAATTCATTATTATTTCTACCAGTTGCTTCATTCAGTTGAGCATCCCAGAACCAAAACTAATAGGAAGAATGGATGACATCTTGGTTTCATTAATACATTTTTTATTAAAGTTTAAAAATACAAAAATTAAAAAGTAATACAAATCAAGAAAAATATAACGTGAAAAAAATGTTCAGAGAAATGGGAGAAAGAAGAAAGAGAGAGGGAGAGAAACAAATAAATAAGAAAAGACAAGTACAAACAATTTCAATAACTTTTTCTAATATTTCAACCAAATATTGATTCAGTGACCATGTAAAGTTACAATAGTGCTGAACAGCTCACAATAGTCCTTGAAGTTCTGGCTATATCTTAGGATCCCCACAGTTATGTGATCACTTGGCAACCAACTTGGATTTACAACAATTACTGCATCCCACCATCACATGATTGCTATTTTCAATCTTCCTTGCCAGTTTCTTAGGAGCAAAGTCAGCAGCAAGGGTCACAAGTTGCTCTTGTCAGTCACTCTTGCTCCCTATATTTATTATCCTGGGGAGTCCTGCTATGTAGTATAGATGTTGTACTCCATTGTGTACATTTCTACAGCCAATCCCCGAATTGAACAGCTTGATCACATGAACACCAGGCTGCAGCAGGCACCTGGCCATAGTCTCGCCACAGCAACCATCTGCATGCCGTTCGTGGCATGTATTCCTGGCTATACATGTGCCATGCCACAGCAGCCGCCCATGCACCTCCCCTTCACCACAAAGCTTTTTCAGCAGCCATCCCTTTACCTAGGCACACTCCACAGCGCTCATCTGCCGGCTGGCTCGCTTGGAAGCTGCCCAGGACCTGTGACTTCCTGGTAGCTTATATGTTGATTGTTTGGAAGTCAGCAGGAACTCACAAGCTGTAGTTACATAAGCTCTTCACTTACAACCTGCAATCCTCACTTAATGATGACAACAAAGCTAGCTGGGATTGCCATTGTTAAACAATGCAGTATTATGTAGCATTTTTAATTGGAATATTCTCATGCTTGGAATTACTAAAGAAAAAGTATAGTTCTGCTTTTTAAAGTTCAACTATAAGCATTTTGTCAAAAATACATTTTGAAATATTACTACAATTTTTGATTGTGCTATTTTATGCTTCCTTGCAGACCTATTTTAAATACAACAAGACAAAAATTCATACTCTTACTGCCTAATTTTGAAAGCTGTGAGATAATGGAGGGATCTAGTACTACATATTCTGATTATGTAAGTTCTGATTTTTTTCAATTCCATTATGGAATTTTGTTAGCAGTTCTCTTTGATATGAGTAAATACAAACTTATATAGCTTTAGTTCAGCCACATTATTGATATTTTAATTTACTTTAATAAATTACGCTTAAATATGTTAAAACAGACAGAGAATTCCCAGTGGGGTGCAAGCATCAGTGGGATAAAAGTAAATCCTAATGGAAAAAGGGACTCATTCCTGGCCCGGACCGGTGAGCCAGAGGAAGAAAATATTGATTTTCACATTACACCTAAAAAGGTAAGACATAGAAGTTTACTAATCAAATTATAGTTTTGGTAGTTCTATCTCTAGTAGTTACAGGAAGTATCAGAGACATATCATGGTAGCCTAGATAGGGGGCCCTTCATTTAAAATTGTGGTTAAATTTATAATTTACAAACTTGATCTCCTTCTCAGACATGAACAGAAGGTCTCCTATTCATCTGTAGACTGGGTGGGCATCATTTCTTTTTTGTGTTATACCTGAGTTACAGATTCCATGTTATTTATGAGCTTTTTTTCTCTTTTAATGCTTTTTCCTCATACAAGATAAAGCTAGAATTATCTGGGACAAAATCAAATATAAAAAACATTCCTTTGGAAGAAGAAAATACTGTGGACTTTGTGTACATTCCTGTAGAAACAAAAAAGCGAGTCTTGACAGAACACCAAAAAGAAGTTCTAAGAACTAAAAGGTTTGTAACATATTCATCACATTAGCTTAGTTTTTGCCTGCATCTTTGCTGTGTTTTGAAGCTTAGGAGTCAAAGAGCACCCATTCTATTTTGCCAGCCAGCTTTTGACTTTAAAGTTTACTCCTTTTGTGGCCAGGAAATGCTAGAAGGAGGTTTTGAAATGAACAGGCTTGGAGCTTACTAAACCAAGCTTGTGTGTAGAGAAGAGTTCACCATAGAACACCTTTTTCCACATGGTGTTCTCTAGATATTTTGAATCTAGATATTTTCTAGAATTTTCAGTTAGAATTGTTTTGAAAATGATGGTCTAAAGAAAAAGTTCAATTTCCTTGAACATCCTCTGCAGAAATAAAAGTTTGGTTTATGTTATGTTACTTCTGTACAATTTTTCAGGGATGATATTCCTGTCATGTATAATAATCTGGATGTGTCTCAAGATGTCCTGTTTTCCCAGGACACTCAAAACCAGGAGGAGTCTTTGTAAGTAATAAGCACCAGAAGAAAATTTTAAATGGGTTTGTGTTTTCAGTGCATCTTAACCAATGATCTTTGTTGTAGGGAAATACCAATCATAGTTGACGTAAAGCAAGAACATGAGAAGAAAGAGGACAAATCAACACCCCAGGTATATTTCTACTTTGAATGTTATTTGTGTTTGCGGTAACACAAAGCATTTTTAGAGTTTTCTTGATAAAGGATTTATATGAAAGGATTTTATCTCAAATAAATCAGTTATTATTATTTTTTTGCAAAACTTTTGCAGTAATGCAAGGTTTCTGAAATACTGTTGAAGAAACCCCATACCATTATATTTGAGTGACAGAAAAACAGGGATATCAAACTGGATTTCTTCAAGGGCCGGATCAGCATTGTAGTTCTCCGTGGGTCTGCCGGGGTTGGGAGAAATGGGACGGAGACCACCACTAGCACCTTGTTGGCCAAAATGGGGCATGGGAGGCTATGTGTGGTGCCCCCGCTCCCTGTTTTTGGCCTGGACAGCCTCCTGCAGCACTGTGTCATGCCCTGTTTTGGCTGCCAGAGACACATTGCGCTAGTCTTTTGCTATTTCCAGGCTGGCCCTGTGGGCCAGATTTAAGCACTCCGCAGGTTCGGCCTGCAGGCCTTGAGTTTGATACCCCTGCAGTAAGATATATGTCAAATTATCTAGGTCTGCTTATATTGTTTTTGGTAATCCTGTGGTTTTGGATGTTCAATTGGAGAAAAAAATCATCTCATTCTTGATTGAGCTGTTTATCTTTTAATGAAACAAGCCACTACTTTTAATACCATTGTGTTCTGATCATTTTATTAAAGTAATACCAAACACTTTTAGAGGCAGAATAGAAAAAAAAATTACTAAGACAAATGTCTTCTCAAGTAGTTACAGTGTTATAATCTTATTAAGTCGATGCAGGGTTTGGGAAACTAGAAATCCCACAGAATGCTTAATGCAATCATTTTATAAGGAGGGTGGTATATTAATGATGCAAGCAGTAAACTTATAATATTTAATTTTGCAAATTGTTTAATTGCAGAAAAAAGAGGCAACAAGTCTTGTCATTCCACATGGAGTAACTGGAAATTACAAATCAAATATATCTCTGGAGAACATTACTTCTACTGTTAGTGAGCAACCTAATAGCTTTCAGAAAGAGAATTTGGATCTGAAAAACGAAGAGTTGAATATCTGTGTTCCAATACAATCACCAATATTAGATTCCACTTTGAATGAAAATCCCCCTACTAGCAGCAGCAACTCCTCAGCTTCTAGTGATATAATTTCAGCAACACCACAGGTAGTGGTGAACAGAAGGCAGGCGTTTGTAACTTTGGAAAAATTTGATGACGCGGAGAGCAGACCTTTTAGTCCTTCAGTTTTCAGTAATATTACTGTAACATTAACAAATCCGTTTATCCAGAACGAAAGCCCAGTTGTTTCAGATGTCTCTTCAAAAGACAAGCCAAACCTGGAGAATAAAGGTCGTGTAAAATTCACAGCAAGAAAAACTATGCCTGGCACAAGGAGGACACGCTCAGAATTCTTAAATGCTCTAGAGATGTGTGTCAAAGCAAAAAGAATTAAAGAAGAAAATTCTCCTGATCCAAAATTGCAGCCTAACAACACGGATGACGGTCTTAGACAAAATAAAACTTTGGACGACAAAGCCTCAGAACAAATACAATCAGATCAAGAGGAAAAAAATCAGGTTTCTGATACGCCTTGCGAGGATAAGCATGAAATATCGGTGGATACACAAATAGCAGAACATTCGCTAGATAATCAGTCTCAGATCCCTGGTGCTGGTGCGGCTGACAGCACAACAATGGAGAGTAAAGTCCTCCTGGACATAGTTAAAAATGAAAATGTGGTGCCAAATTTAGAGCACAAAGAGAATACAGCTACAGAGGTAGATGTTCGTGAGGAAGTAGTGCCCGATGTTAACCAAAGTCCTGACATTTCACTTAATCAGAAAACATTAAGACGTTCTTTAAGACGAAAAGCAGAAACTGATGGAGCTGTAGATAGCCAAGATAACGAGAACAATCAACAAAAGAAGGACAATGAAAAAGATGATGAAAAGATTATGCCTAAGAAGATGGCACAAAATAAGGAGACCTCTGGGCAAAAGGAAAAAGCTGAAACACTTGAAAAAGCAGCAGATGCACCAATATGTGTGCCTATAAACAATGCTACAGAAAACATAAACTCTAAAGAGAACAGCCAGGAAGAGTTGGACATGAGTCTTGGGAAATCTGAACGCAGTCCTGCTGCATCTGACCTTGAAGAATCGGGCCCAGATACGTCTGTGGAGAAACACAAAGTATTTCCACGGTATCATACAAGAAGAGCAGCTTCACAAGGATTACTTGCCAGTATGGAAAACTCTGAATCTGATATCAGTGAAACAAGAGAGGAAGGAGCAAAAAAGAGAAGGTCTGGGAAATTGAAAAAAAATGATTCCCCTGGGAACCAAGCAAAGCCAGACAGTCAAGAGCTTTCTTCACAAGCTGCAGTAGAAATCCAAACTAGGTCAGTAGGAAAACAGAAAATAACTTCTAGCGGAAAGACAGAAGTGCCTTCGATGTCTAATAATGCAAAGGATATAAAGCAAGACAAAAGTACTCCCCCATTAAGTCCCTGTGTGGATCTTAAAGAAAATGCAGGCCTGACACGTCCTAGAGCCTCTTCAGATACAGGGAGAAAGGCTGCTAACAGGAGGGAATCCACCTCAGAGCCTGTTTTAGAAAACGGTCAGGAAACTAGTGCTCTTGACACAAGTTCTGTGGTACCTATCAATTCAAATGACATTTCAGAAGATCATGCTTCTGCTACCGCTGTCGGTGCCTTACCTTCACCCAAGAGAATTCTAGATATGTCCGAATGCCAGCACAAAAGAAGCAAGCGGACAAGGAAATCCAGGAGCTGCGAATGCTGTGATGAAAAGCTGTCTCCCCAAGTGGAAAAGTTGTCCTCTGAACCGAAAAAGGCAAGCACTCCAGAACCAAAGTTAAAAGAACCAAGGAAGAACCTTAGTAAAGTAACCGTGGCCCTGACTCTGATTCCTGTTGCTGAAGAGATTCATTTTGCACAGAGGCTGAATGTAGAACCTTGTGCAACAAGCACCCCGCTGCCTTTTGTTAAGGATGCCGCTGATTGGAAAGAGGCCAGCAATGTTGCTAAATCTGTCAGTGGCGTCCCAAGAAACAAGTCACCAAACGTAGAACCGGAAAAATTAGCATGTGTCCAAAGTGAAAATGACAAGCCAGTTGCAGGAATTCCGGATGTTCCTTTCTCTGAAACAATTTCAGAATCCAGATCAATGGATTCTCAATCAGAAATGCTCAGTGCTCAGGGTCAGCCTTTAGAACCAGGTTCAGTGGATTCTCATTCAGAAATGCTTAGGGCTAAGGATCAGGATTTAGAACCAGGTCCAATGGATTCTCATTCAGAAGAGGTCAGTGCTAAGGATCAGCCTTTAGAACCAGGTTCAGTGGATTCTCATTCAGAAATGCTCAGTGCTAAGGATCAGCCTTTAGAACCAGGTCCAGTGGATTCTCATTCAGAAGAGGTCAGTGCTATGGATCAGCCTTTAGAACCAGGTCGAATGGATTCTCATTCAGAAGAGGTCAGTGCTAAGGATCAGCCTTTAGAATCAGGTTCAGTGGATTCTCATTCAGAAGAAAGTGTTATGGATCAGGGTTTAGAACCAGATTCAATGGATTCCTGTTCAGAAGAAAGTGTTATGGATCAGGGTTTAGAACCAGGTTCAATGGATTCCCATTCAGAAGAAAGTGTTATGGATCAGGGTTTAGAACCAGGTTCAATGGATTCCCATTCAGAAGAAGTCAGTGCTAAGGATCGGGGTTTAGAACCAGATGCAGAAGCAGAGACTGGAATGGAAGTCTGTAGTAACCAAAATGGTCATTTGGAAAGTGAAACAGATACAGAGATCAAAATTATCCAAGTTGTGGGAGCACAGCCTGAGGAAAGTGTCGTTCAGAATACTGTAGAAGAGACTGCGGTAACATCTGCCACACAGGTAGCAGAGCTGCAGGAAAATGAGACGAGTGAGGAAGAAGGAGCAGAAGATAATGCAGCAAATGCACCAAGTCAACCTTCAACCTTAGTCATGTGGCAGAACAAAATTAGTACCTTGGATTCTCCACCAAAATGTAAAGAACTTGATTTTCTTTCTTTAGCCAAGGTCAGTGGAAGTCCCACTGGGACACAGGCTCGCTGTCTATGGTCCCCATCAGCTTCTCCTTCTACAAGTATTTTAAAAAGAGCCATCAAAAGAGAACCAGAGGAAGATTCGTCATCACCTGCAAACAAGGTATTTTTAAGCAATTTGGGCCACTCTACCTGTGATTATTTGCATATTACACAAGCTCCTTTTGAAACCCTAAGTACATTTTTAGTTTCTTTGAAATATTTGAAATCCATAATTCTTAAGTTACTAAAGTCTATGTGGCATGCCTGAAGCAATAAAACTTGACTATTGGGTGAAGGGAGATCTTTTGATCAACACTAGAATTTTCTTTTCATATCTTGGTTTGTTTATAGGCTACATTATATTAATGTAATTGTATAGCCACTTGAACACTTATATCCTACTTACACATTTTTTATTCAAAAAATCAGTTCTTATGCCTGATGGTTGGGCATTTGAAGTGATTCATACAGACCCTAAATGAAGTATCAACGGCACTTAAATAATAATGTTTGGTCACATCCCCAAATAATTTAGTTCTTTAGTGGGTTTGGTTATGTAAAATATGCCTTCAGTTGACCCTGTGGTTAATGAATAAATAACATTTTTTTTCTTTCTACTGGCATCTGCACTTTTGTCAGGACTTTATTTAGAGATTCTAATGGATACAATTAATAATGTAATATTTAAGTTAATTTTTTGAATTCCAATATCCTTATGTTTGCAAAGATGTGCTGAATTTATAATAGCCCTTGTTCGCCACAGGTAGTCATCACGTAATGACTATATTTCGAATTGGCAATGCAGTTGTTAAGTGAGACAACATATGTGGTTGACTTCCATAGCAATAGCAATAGCAATAGCAGTAGACTTATATACCGCTTCATAGGGCTTTCAGCCCTCTCTAAGCGGTTTACAGAGAGTCAGCATATT